AGGAGCTCACTCAGCAGAAATCATCTCAAAGGGCTGAGGTATTAAAACCCCCAATCACCGTGTCAAATGTGAAATGAGAAAGACATAAAGGGCACCTTTGGCGCCATCAGACCAGCTGTTTCTTAGGGTGGAGGGCAGCAGGGAGGGGAATTCTTGACATGTAGCATTTACCAATTTCTATGGTGTAAATACTCCCAGCATTGAACAGAGTTGGGAAGAGATGCATAGGATCCCACTATACATATTTGCACTATACAAATTCTACATTCATCAGTAACCCCAAAAGCATAAACTTAGAGCAATCAGGAATTACCTTTGCTTTTTATATAATTTAATGGGAAGTCTATACAATTTTCAACAGTTGTGCTGAATAGCCAGCTCACAAAAATTCCCGAAAATTTACAACTGGTGCTTGCTACCTGGGCCACCAGCGTCCCAGACCTCCCGCAGGCCAAGGAAGATGGCAAAACTGGTCCTTGCAAAGAGAATGGTCTCACTTGCCAGTACCGGGCAACTCCAAGACAACTTGCACTACCTTCCTATCAAGGTGTGCTCTTTGGCTTCTTCTCTTGATTCAACAGCAGTTACAAACTTGGAATCAGGCTCACATTCTTTACTATCCTGCAGAGCAGCTTCCTGAAGAACTGCTGGCTGGCTGTGGTCGTAGCTGGGAGGTGGCAGGAGCCGGCAACCCAAGAAGGGAGTTGTTTTGTGGTGGGGCATGTAGATCAGCCCCAGGCCTCCGGTGGGAATTTAGTCTAACAGTAATGAGGGCCATGGGTACACGTGTGTGATGAGCCATTCCAGGAGCTCTGCCCAGAGACCAGAGTAATCACTAGGCCTCCTGGGCCCAGGCTGATTATCTTGTTTTTCTTGCACTCGTTTAGTTTTATTGAAAAGAACTACAGAAAAGGGCACAATTTTAAACATACCACTCCATGAATTTTCCAAATGATCTATTCAGGTTAAGAGTAACTCAGCGGAAGATACCCATTTCTAGAACCAGGTGGACAAGCCCCTTCCCTGTCGGCAGCAACACCCCAGAGGTCAGTGACCCTGACCTCTCCCACTTTGGTTTCTTGTTCTTGAAATTCACATATATGGAATTCTGTTTTGGCTGCTTTTGCCCAGTATTTTTTTTTTAAATATTTTATTTATTTATTCATGTGAGACACATAGAAAGAGGCAGAGAGAGAAGCAGGCTTCCTGCGGGAAGCCCGACGTGGGACTCAATCCCAGGACCCCGGGATCACGATCTGAGCCAAAGGTAAACGCTCAACCACTGAGCCACCCAGGTGCCCCTTTATTCAGTATCCTGAGTCATCAGTGTTGTGTATAGTGCTAATTCCTTCATTTCTAAGATGTAACATTGTATAGATAGACCACAATTTGTCCATTTCTGGGTTGTTTCTGGTTTGAGGCTATTATGAACAAAGACAGTATAAAAATACTCGTACTATTGCATGCATTTCTGTTAAGCGTATGTGTGGGAGTGGAATTGTGTCCATGAGTACTATAGTGCTAGCTTTAGTAAATATGGTTATTGAGGGCGTGCCAATTTACACTCCCAACTGCGGCCTGGGAGAGTTCCAGTAGCTTGTCTTCGCTAACATTTTGTAGTGTCAGTCCTCTTCATTTTAGCCATCCTGGTGGGTATCTAGCAGTATTTCATTCCAATTTTTACACTTCTCTGGTGATGGATATTGAAAAAATTTGGCTATTAAAATGCTTATTAACCATCTGGATATTTGTGAAAAGGCCACATTATTTGCTCATTTTTTTAAAAATTTTTATTTATTTATGATAGTTACACACACAGAGAGAGAGAGAGAGAGGCAGAGACATAGGCAGAGGGAGAAGCAGGCTCCATGCACCAGGAGCCCAATGTGGGATTCGATCCCGGGTCTCCAGGATCGCGCCCTGGGCCAAAGGCAGGCGCCAAACCGCTGCGCCACCCAGGGATCCCTATTTGCTCATTTTTAATAATATTGTCTTTTTTATTGATATGTAACATTTGTATGTCGGGGTCTTTTGAATTTTTTCCACTTTATGGCTTGACTTTTCTCTCAAGGGTAATTCGATAATGAGTTAACTGTAATGACATCCAATTTTTCATATTTTTACCCTCATGGTGTTTTTTTGTGTCCTAATAAATCTTTGCCTAGTCCAAGGCCAGAAAGATCATCTGTTTCCTTCAGAAACTTTATTACTATTTTACTTTCCATGCTTAGGATCATGATCCATTTGGAGTTCATATTTATGTATGGTGTGATATCAAGGTTCACTTTTTTCCATATGTATATCCAAAATTACCTTTTCTGATTATTGATGGTTGTTTCATTAGGATTTTCCAGTTTCCAAGTGCTAATTTCTACATTTTTGCAAAATAATATTTTACGTTTTTCCCTTTTCTTTTTTTTAGAGCAAGCATGGACACATGTGGGTTGGGGGGTCAGAGGGAGAGTAGGAGAGAGTATCTTAAGCAGGCTCCAAGCCCAGCGTGGAGCCTGTTGTGGAGTCTATCTCATGACTCTGAGATCATGACCTGAGCTGAAATTGAGTCAGGTACTTCCAGGTGCCCTTTTCTTTCACTCTTGAAGGGGAAATAAGGAGAGACAGTATGACCTAGAGGCAATGAGAGCATGAATGAGCACAGTTCTCACCCCAAACCAGGGAGTCAAGATCACACACCTTCGAATTAGCCTCACCTTGACCCCTCCTATGCTACAGCACAAATACCCTAAGTGAGCCAGCCCTACAGCTCTGGCCCTCAATCTCAACTGACTGGAAAGGCTGCCTCAAAACTGCTTGTCCAGGTAATCTGTGGTGAAAGCCACAGGTTGAACTTTCCTTTGCTGTATCACGACATTATCCAAAGTCATCTTAGAGAGATTTCAGGAACAAAGCTGTATTTTTCAAATGACTTTGAGGTGATTTGGTTTTCTTCTGTTCTTTTATCCACTTGATCACATTCCAGAGTCTGGACTACACTAGAAATTCTACTTCCTAATCTAACAAAGCCCTTCTTACATAGGACCACAAAATTCTCTGTATAATTTCCAAGCCCTAATCTCTTTTTTAAAAAATGACTGTATTTGAGAGAGCATGCACGAGAGAGAACAAGGAGGGGAAGCAGAGGGAGAGGAAGAAGCAAACTTCCAGCTGAGCAGGAAGCCCAATATGGGGCTTGATCATAGGACCCTGAGATCATGACCTGAGCCAAAGGTAGAAGCTCAACCAACTGAGCCACTTGGATGCCCCTTCAGGCTCTAATCTTAGTTACTACTTTCCTTTTATCAAGGATTTATGTTAGGCACTAGGCTAAACACTTTATGAGATTATTAATATTACTATTAGTCTATATACCTACTTCTTCAAAGCCCTTAACAGCAGGAATCATACCATATATTGTCTATTCAGTTTCAAAGTCTTGATTTCTTGTTTATTGCTGTATCAAAACATCTAGCCCAGTGCCCAGCACGTCGTATGTACTCAATACACATTCATTTTCACTGGTTTCCAGACCTTGCCCATCCCGTCCTTCTCAGCAAAGCACTTCAGGTATATGGCTATATGAAGGCAGACCAACCGCTCTTCTCAGATCCTTGGCAGAGTGGAGAGGAGAAAATAAAAAAGGGATTTGACTGATCAACTGTTTCTACAATTATTCTTTTAATACAGTTTTTAAGATTTAGAACACCTATATGCATTTCCTATTTCTTTCATGAAGGATCATTATTAGAGATATGTTTGGTCCTTGTACTGATAGACTTTACTGTCTGCCTTTCATCAGCCTCATCACAAGTACCTCTTGTGGTAAGAGGAGAGTTTCTACCTTGGCTACTGTCTCTTCTGCCTGTTTCTTTAATCCAGGTCTTCCGAGAGGGCCAACCGATTTAAAAACCGCCTGAGTTTCAATGTCTCTGGGCTTTGGTGTGAACACTTTGCCCACCTGCCTCCACTATACAGTCTTAGAATTTACCTTAAAAATGTAATAACATTTTGCATTGCCAGGGTACCATTTCATAATTTTTTTTTTAAATTTATGATAGGCACACAGTGAGAGAGAGAGAGGCAGAGACACAGGCAGAGAGAGAAGCAGGCTCCATGCACCGGGAGCCCAACGTGGGATTCGATCCCGGGTCTCCAGGATCGCGCCCTGGGCCAAAGGCAGGCGCTAAACCGCTGCGCCACCCAGGGATCCCCCAGGGTACCATTTCAAATTTATATTGGATGATCCATTATAGACTAAGCTGCTCAGCAGAGAAAATAAACTCCTAGAATATTGTTTTAGTTATACATGTTTTGAATTAAATGCTATCAGATTAAAAACATACGCTGAGGGATCCCTGGGTGGCGCAGCGGTTTAGCGCCTGCCTTTGGCCCAGGGCGCGATCCTGGAGACTCGGGATCGAGTCCCACGTCAGGCTCCCGGTGCATGGAGCCTGCTTCTCCCTCTGCCTATGTCTCTGCCTCTCTCTCTCTCTCTCTCTCTCTCTCTGTGACTATCATTAAAAAAAAAATACGCTGATAATATTGGCTTTCTTCAATCATCGCAGAACTCACCAGAAGATTCTCAAGAAGAGAAACCCTACTGCTCAGCCTCAGTTGTCCACAGAATCCACAAGTGCCTCAAAGGAAAACAGATACTGAGGATTGTAATTTGATTAACTTCAACATTCTTCTATGTATTCACATGAGCTAATTAGCCAAATCTTACATTAGCTAAAATAGTAAACTATAATCTGTGTATAAACTTTCTATTCATAAATTAAATAGCTAAGCATATGAACTTGAATTTAGCAACCTTTATTTAGGCACAAAGGGATGTTTTGATCCAGGCTCTAAAATTTCCCAAGATTTTTGGTTAGAATCCTACAATTCTTTGGACAAATCATGGCTCTTCTTTTCCAAATGAAGATAAAATATGTGTCTTGACTTTTCTAGTAGAATCCTTTTTAAAATTTACTTGAGAAAAATGGACAAGCACAACGGTAAACTATTTTAGAATGCTCTTTATTTTGAAACTTACACCAGGACATGTGTAAGGCATGTTCACAAGTATTTGATGCACAAAACACATTTTCTCACTCTCCAGCTGCTCTTTTCCTTTGTACCTGCTGCTACAAGCTGGTCCCTACATATCTTCCTACCTACAGTTCTCAGTTATTATGAACAGTAGACAATGTTTCAGGGACCTGCAAGGAGAATCTGCTTCAAAATACAGAGTGAGCATCCTATGGACTAAGTCACTAAGACATCAAAATTCACAAGGAACCAAGGCTGAGGAAGGCAACCAAATTAACTCATCACGAACTTGGGACTGTGAACTTCCAGGGGAACAAAGAACACGATGAAAAACATTTTTTGATGTCTGAGAGACTATGGAATGTGTCCAGAATTCATGTTTCTATATTTGCCACGGTCTACAAGTCACTAAAGATATCTAATATTTTAACAGATTCTAATGCAGTTAAAGTTTTGTTCTCACACCACAGTACAAGAGTGCATGCATTACTTCACACAAATGTCAAACACGGAACCAGTGAAACAAGGACACCTCAAGATTGTCTAATTACACAAGTGCCTCTTCCTGGTGTCAGGATAGGGAGGGGAATGATGGTGAATGTTTCCCTACGGTGCCCACTATGTGTTAGAGACACCCCAACATTAGTCATCTCTCATGAAGAGGACAAATGCTCCTAATAAGAGTATGATATTCAAAGAAAAAATTCCAAATGTAGGATTCGGGTGATGAATATGTAGCCTCAGTTTTCAAGGCAAAAAAAGGTCTTGGCTGACACTAATAAAGTATTTGTAATTGATTTTCAAAAATCAAATAATATCTTTAGGTGATAAAAAATAAGCTCTCTATAAATCTATTGGGGGGAATAAAACAATGAAATGAAAAAGCAAAAATCACATGGTATTTGCTAAAAAGGAGATTTGAATCTTTTGGTTTACATCAGTCAGTATGTTACCCTTTAGTACAGATTATTAAAATGTGTTTGCTTAAACCCATTTAAATGCAGAATCTTTGAAGAAAAATGTAGGCATATTTTAAGGAATACTGACTTGTAAAAATTTTAACCTGGGGCACTGTAAGAGATCAGAATACTTACAATTGAAGTACTGCTTTGAGGTGCTCACAATACTTTCAAAAGAAGCCTTCCATTTCAGAAAGCATCTCTGTAAGCAGCCTCAACAATTTAGGGATGTGGTTACACATAATTTTATTAGCCACTATTTGCTATTATCAAAAGTGTTTAATAAGAGCAGGGAAATTACTATCAACTGTATTAAAGATCTCCATTTATTAGCGCTGTGACACACAGTGCAAAGAATCTTCAAATGTTTGCCTTTTATACCAGAAGTAATATAATTGTTATTCTTCCAATCCAACAAACCAGTAAATTACTCTTCAGTGAACCTGTGACTACCTAGAAAAGCAGGCTGGCCTCTTCCAGAAGGTGCCACTACTCTTCTTACAGGAGATCCTATTCGAGGCAGGCCGGGCAAGTGCTCTGCCCCTTCAGCCACTGCTTAAAGCACTGAAAATGAGAAAATGAAACCAGTTAGTCTCTTCAGGATCACGTGGAGCCTTCGCTCTCCTGTGCTGCTCAATAGACATCACCTCCAAGTCTGGTGGGGCCTGAAGCTGCCCAACACTCAGGAACACTGAAGGTTACTCAAGCTAGGAGTGTGCCCCAAGCCCTAGGAATAAATCATCTCACCTCAGAATGTGACCCAAGAACTCTGGGCCTCTGACCTCATCTTAGGGGGGACAGCTTTGCCCCTCCACTTTCCCTACACTCCAACTTCAGTCTTGGCATTTCATTCCAGGGGTCAGCATTTCCTTGGTCCTGGGATTCACTCAATTTTTAACCAATCTTGTCTCATCCTGGTCTTGGTTCTTGTACATCCCACCAGCCTGCACACCAGAGCCTTGACTGGAGCCTGCCTACCCACTGTGGTCCTAAGTTGCACATGGGTGGCCTGCTGCTGCTACAGAGCTGGGTGTTGTGTTAGTCTGAGAGCCCAGGCACAACAGCTCTATACCCGCAGGAGACAGGCCATGCAAGAGACTGCAAGCTGTCTTGACTTCTCCTAGTTAAGTATATTATATTTATTCCCCTTATCAAGGGATTAATAAACTGACATGGCAGAGACTTGATCTATTCCAACAAGAAGCAGGGGTGTAGAATGAATGCCCACAGCACCCAAAATATTCACCCACAGATCTTGGAAAGGGTACAAACCCAGATCTCCCAGGATAAGGCACAATGGACCCAGATAGGTTTAGCTTTCCTACTCTAAAATGTTAAACTTACTTTATATACTGCACTAAATTGACAAAATGTTGTATTGTGCATCTATTCAGCCATGTAAGAAATTACCTTTTAAGAAACAAATACTGTTTTGAATTTCAGCACCAACACAGTTGATGGAGCCGACTAGGGTTATGTTCCTCTACCCATGATGTGATGGATGGAAAGGCCAGTGTGCAGAGCTGCAAACCCAGAGCCTAGAGGCTTCTCCCCCTTTCCACAGCAGCAATCTTTGGAAAGGGAGACAATGAACACTGGCACAAGAAGGCTTATAAGGAAAATGCTTTGAAAACACAAGAAGTATTGATGCCTATGAAAAAAAGTCCCTTTTAATTTCAAAATACTTCATATGAGGATGGCCAAAGAGAATTCTTACCCCTTTGTGAAACTTGTGCCCACATTTTAGTACACGCACGTTTTTGGATTTGAATATCTCATGGCACAGTTCACAGGAAGCTGCACCCGATGCCTGTGGGAAGAAACGTATCTCAATTAATAAAGAGCTACATTCCTCTTTGCCACAGGAGCTCTTCTACAAGTGGCCTTTAAACACTTTGTCATTAAAGTGGCAAATTACTCCCAATTATAACTAAGCAGGCTGCGAGAACAACTTATTTTTGAATAGCATTTCTTTTTTTTTTTTTTTTTTAATTTTTATTTATGATAGTCACAGAGAGAGAGAGAGAGGCAGAGACACAGGCAGAGTGAGAAGCAGGCTCCATGCACCGGGAGCCCGATGTGGGATTCGATCCAGGGTCTCCAGGATCGCGCCCTGGGCCAAAGGCAGGCGCCAAACCGCTGCGCCACCCAGGGATCCCTTGAATAGCATTTCTTAAGAAAAACTATAAACATACGAAAGAAAAAATATACTTTTAAAGTTCTAATTTACTCACAGAAAAAAACCCTGTTTTATATGGTTAATAGGTTCCCGGGAAATTATTACAAATTTCTATTTATCCCATCCCATACCTAAACTACGGTATGAATTATTATAAATTAATCCTTTATCTAATTACCTAACAGTTGGGGACAGAAACATAAATTATGACACATCCACACCACGGAAGTGGGGCTGACTGAAATCGTGGTGGAAGTCCACAAAAGCTGGTGGCAACAACCTCTGAATAAAAGCAGATTGGGATCCCTGGGTGGCGCAGCGGTTTGGCGCCTGCCTTTGGCCCAGGGCGCGATCCTGGAGACCCGGGATCGAATCCCACATTGGGCTCCCGGTGCATGGAGCCTGCTTCTCCCTCTGCCTATGTCTCTGCCTCTCTCTCTCTCACTGTGTGCCTATCATAAATAAATAAAATAAAATAAAAATTAAAAATAAATAAATAAAAAAAATTTAAAAAAATACATGTTAATCAATTATTTAAAAAAAATGAATAAAAGCAGATTACAAAACAGTATGTATCACAATCATGGAATTCATTTTTTTTTTTTAAATAAAGAGAATGCGTGTAGAGAGAGAAACCTAGTAAAGAGCCTGGAAAAACATAAAATGTGAATAGCAGTTACTTTCAGTTAAGAGAGATTTAATTATTTTATTTGCTATTTTCTAAAGTTTCTATGAATGTGGATTACATGTGCAAATCAAAACAAAACAAACTGATGGCTCATTCAGCAAACATCCGTGGTCAGGGATTGTGCAGGGCGCGAGGGCACAGAGCTGAATGGGAGTTTCCGGCTCAAGCAGCACACAGTCTGGTGAGCACAGACAGCACTTTCTGTGAAAGCAGAGCCACCATGCCACCCAGGACACCAGGCACAAGTTCCCCCTACAGCTTACAGCACCTACACACACACACTGCACCATTATTTCCCACTCCTCCTCCCCAACAAACTCTGAGCACCCTGAAGGCAAGGAAGGAGCCCTGTTCATCTATATCCTTAGCAACTGCAAGGAACCTGGCCCCAACAGGATTCTTCATAAACTGTCAGGCGAGTGAATGAAAGCAGCCCTGGCTGTGGGATTAAGGTCAGGGATGCAGATGGAGACAGTGCCTAAAGGCTCTGAAGACCCTGAACTGCTGAATGGGGTTTTCTGTCTCCCCTGGCCCTGATGCAGTAGATGCAGTAGGATGAGGCGTTCTAGCTCCACTCTGTGGCCCCTGATGGGAGGGTCAGGGGAGCAATGGGAGTGTCAGTCCCAGGGAAGGGCAGGTGAAGGCCACTGCAAAGCTCAGAACTAAGTTTGGCTTGAAATACCAACAGTTAACTTATTTCCTAGCATGAAAAGAAGGTACATACATTTCTAAGTGGAAAAAAAGGACACAATTTTAACTAAATTCACATATACACACACATATAAAAGAATTTAAGAAAAATATACACCAATATCATAATACTGGTTACCTTATTAGGGGGTGGGTCTCTGGGGTTCTTCAAAGGCTTTTTATTTGTATTTCCTACTATGAACACATACTGCTTTTGTAATTTGAAAAGATAAAGCAAACTACTTTTATTTTTTAAAAAACTACCTATAATTATCAAATTAAGTCCCAATTTGAATACATATTTTTCTTATAAGTCAGCTTTACAACTTTTTTATTATCAACAAAAACTGAAGAGAAAGTAATCTCCCCCTGCTGAAGGTAACTGCAGTCTATCTTGGGGTGAGGTGGTCAGTGAGGATGTTCTGAGAATTCAGCCTGGTTGGTGGATCACACAGCATGCGTGGCCAGTCAGGAGCCTGCGGAAAGAGAGGCAAACCCAGACAGGCTTTGCAGGAACGTTCCGCAAGCTCATATGCTCTCTCATTGGAGTTAGATGCTCTGGAAACTGAATGTATATGGTTTGGAAAATCTCCAAAAAACAGTGAAAAGTGAAAATGTACAGGAGGAATGAAAACATAAGTTTACACAAAGATTTACTAAGCCTTAGTTAAGTCAGCAAACTAGTACTCTGTAAATCATCCATCACTGACTACTATGGGGCCAGAAACTTCTAATTTTCATTTAATCTAAACTCTGATACCATAGTTGGACAAAAGAGAAAAAAATGCATTACATCAGAATTCAAACTGGAGCCTGAGGCCCTGAGCCACACAGGTGACAGCCTCTTTCAACCATATTTGGTTCCTACTACACAGTCCTGAGCATCGGCTGGGCCTGTGTGGTGAGGATTGAGGAATTACATGCCATATACCCAGATCAAATAAAGGAATGCTGGCAAGCTCTAATGAATCATCTGTGCCTCAGTTTCTTCATTATAAAATAAAGACCATTATAATGCCTTATCAAGTGAGATAAAAAAAATACCATAGTATTTTATCAAAAAGATCTATGTAAACCTAACATTCTTAATAGAACAAAAAACATTTTAAATCCATATATCAAATTAAAGGCAATATTAGCCCATTCTAGTGTCCACCCCCCCACACACCTCTTCCAGACCCTCAAGGCGAGAGGGCAGGGAAACCACCAGACTTTCCTGAACACAGAGCTTGACCTGATCATTCTATTCTAGCACTTCATTCAGACAACAACCTGAACAAGCAGTTATGATCTGAGTTCACAGTGTTACTAAGTGACAGAACCACGTCTGTGTGATTCCAAAGCCCGTGGTGACATATGGAATAAAATGATCCAAAAATCATTTTCCCTAACTATTCAAAATAATCACACTTGATATTAAAAAAATTAAGTTGTATTTGACTGTTTGCAGGCCCAGTTCCCGTAGTGTGGCCAGAGCTCTCCCAGTCTCCCTAGTGCAGGGGTTTCTCCCAACAGGGGTCACAGGCACCCACAAAAGCAGAGGTGACCTGACTATTCAAATGGACACTCAAGTAGATCTAAATTTGGTCTCTAATTTTTAAAAAAGATTGATTATTTATTTATTTGAGAAAGATTGAGAGAGCACAAGTCGGGGTGGGGCAGGAGAGGGAGAGAGAATCTCAAGCAGACTCCTTGCTGAGCACCCAGGTGCCCCTAATTAGTTTTTTAAGTAGGCTCCACACCCAACATGCGGCTCAAACTCACAACTACAAGGTCATGAGTTGCATAGTCCACAGCCTGAGCCAGCCAGGGGCCCCTGGTTTCTCATTTTAAGATCAAATAAATTAGGTCTAGAAATGAAAAGAATCTAAATCATGGATTAACTATTTTGTCTCTTTCTTCTTCATTAAAAAAACAAAACTGACTCCACCGTCACACATACAACACTCACAGAGGCATCTTCTATCTTTTGTCCCTTGGTTTTGGGCGACGGTCCAGCAGTCACGGAGGGTGGACCCTGGGAGGCCCTGTTCACAGAAGCAGTGGAGCTGGGCTCAGACAACCTCTTGTCCTTTGCTGAATTTGAATTTGGCTACAGAGATAATGCAGGAAGAGAAGGGGAAGCAAGTTTAGTAACCCAAAAGCTTGCTCATCTTCTGTCGTTACTGAAGTGCTCTCCACATTATGGCTGGATGCAGTTTTTTGCTTTTTACAATTCTCAAATTTTGTAAATAAAGTGAACCACTTTTTTTTTATTTTATTGGAGTTCCATTTACCAACATACAGCATATCACCCAGTGCTCATCCTGTCAAGTGCCCCCCTCAGTGCCCCTCACCCAGTCCCCCAACCCCCCACCCACCTCCCTTTAAAGTGGACCGTTTTATTGTATCTGGATGAAACGCCAACCTTTTTCTTTTTCTGTTCATCTAGAATGTGTTCTGTCACTCTTTGGACAATTTCATCAATACTCAATCCTGAGAGCGAGTTTTTGTTCTTGTTTCGCACTTTTTTAATAAAACCAGCAAGCTCAGTGCTAAAAAGAAGTGGAGATAAATGACAAGAGAAAGTCAAAGTTTTCCACTGTGAAAGAAGTATGTGCCAATATTAACTCAACAGCTGTAAGAAACAAACCAAATACACACAAATTTAAACAATAGCAACTATATATAAAAGCAGGAGAACCATTCCAAGCAGTTATGAAAATTCCAATACTATTTTCTAAATACTTGTTTCACTAGAATTTCAAAGTAACAGTATATCTACTAGATCCACTTGGGATATCTACCTCTACTTAGAAACCAGATTTCCTACAGGCTGGATATCTTGTAGCATTATGCTCAATCACTCATCAGGCAACACTGGTCCTGACCTGAAATCAATAAAATCTCTTTCTACTTAAGGGGAAACTAGGTTTATTGACTGCCTCCCTTAAAAAAAAACCTGACAAGGGGTTTTCAAAGCCTGAATGTTTCAGAAGTACCAGTGGATAGAATTAAAGCATTAATCAGCAGGAATTTGATATTTGAAGCACTAATATCTCAAATGTTTTAACTTCCAGAAAATTAGGATGCATTGCTATTCGGTTGTTTAAACTCTCCCAAATTTAGTCAGGATTGCCAACCATTTTAAGGTACTTTTGGTAATTCTAACTTGAGCATTTACAACTGGCATGGGAACTGCTATGGAGAGAACTTAAAATGTTTCTCAAAGTTAGGCAGGGCTAAATATGCCCCTGGGCATACACTTATTTTCAAACAAGCAGGGCTCCACCAACAGAACCAAAACATTAATTCCGGCCAATCATAATTTCATCACTACTTTGTTTCAAAAGTATAACTTCAAAACTTGTAACTAGTACCATATCAAAGAGAGAAATAACATAGGACAGAGTACAGAGAGTCATTCTGGGATATGGATTCCTCTCTTCCTAGCTGTATCCCTGAGACACTGCCTTCACTGCTTCTCTCCTTGGCTGAGATAAGGAGCACTTCTTACTCCCACAGACCAACCTGGAGATCGAGGTCAGTGGTTGAGGTGCGGACACCAGCACATCTGCAGCCCTGATCCACTATCAAATCACACCTCACACCTCCAACAAATCTGAGGTGCTCTCTAGCAAGGTCTAGGTTGCTGCTGTCTTCCTTGGTAGGTGGTACTTCTTCCCCCAAATAATATGAAACTAGTGTTTTGCAGTTCTGTTGTTCATTTAGGGATTCCACAACTAGAACTGGAGCATGTTATTGATCTCATCAAAATCTTAGCAAACTGCCCCGGGTTCTGACAAGTGTGGATAACCAGTAATCAGTGTTTTCAATCTAGATACGCACATCACAAAGTTGGTTTGAAAATGCTCACCTCTATGTTTAGTAGCACCTGTCTTTTCTGAGTAGAACTATGGAGTCATTTTCACTTTGGCCCCTAACTGGCCATAGTGTTATCTGCTCAGGAGACCTCGGCTCAATAAAGTATTTAACAGAGTCACAAACGTTTTATGTCCATACCTGTTGTAACATGGGAATACCACTGACAGGTGCTCAATAATACTGTTGAACGGCTTTTTTGGAGACTGGCTTGAGCGGGTAGCACGTCCTGGAAGAACAGGTAGTTTCTGATCAGCCACAAGGCTTTGTTTTGGCGGAGTTTCCTGGCCTGTGCTCTTACACTCTGGCAGCTGGGTGACTTCGGGCTGACAGGAGAGCGATCCTGTCAATGGTGGAGAGGAAGCCCCCACTGGGCCATCACTGGCAGAGACCAGACTTGAGTCCTTAGGAACTGCTGTTTGGTTTCCAGCCTCATGACTTGTAGAAATGGAGGCTCTGTGATCTTCATGGCCTGAAGACTCAGGAAGTGATGTAGGAAGAATCTGGGGAGAATATACCATAGTTGCTGGATCACTAAGAGCAACGTCTATGGACAAAGACTGACAATTAAGTATGGCTATAATAACATCTGGGTGCTCCAGTGCACAGGAAACTTGAACACAAGAAGTTAAATAGTTTTGTTTTTAAAAAACTGCTGGTCATCTTCACTTTGAAATGAGCTCTTCTGGACTCCACACTGCTGGCCTCCTCTCCTACCTCTCTGCAGCCCCTTCCCAGGCTCTCCCTGCAGTTCTTAATGCTTGTCTGTGCCTTAATGTGGATGTTCCTTAGGATGCTGTTGGAGGTTGAATCTCAACACCCTGCTACACCCTCTCCCCCAGGATATTGCACATTCTTTCCTGCCTCAGTGACTGTGTGCTTGGTGCTGATAATGTCCACTTTTTAAAAGATCCTAGTTTTGAATGTTTTCCTGAGATCCAAACCTGCAAATCCAAACTTCTGCAAATACAAGGCCACTTAAACCCAGTGTCTTCAAAATCAGGCTTGGCTCAGTCTTTGATCCTGCTCTTCCTTGGGTGCCCACCTCACAGACAGAAACCCAGGTTTGTCTCGACTCCCCCAAATGCTGTGCCCCCAATCTCATAAGCAGTTCTTTCCACTGTTCATCCTAAATCTTCTCGTATCTGCTGTCTTCCTCTAGCTCCACTGCCATGCTCTTATCCAGGCACGGCTGCCGACAGTGAGCTCCTCTCCCACTTCTCCACACTGCAGGCAAGCCGACAGGAACAGAGCTGTTGGCATCCCCTTAAGTGAAACCTATATTGGCTTCTTAGTGACCTCAGGAAAAGTCAAACTGCTGAACACATTTTTACAGAATAAGGCTCCCTTCACTCTGGCCGCTGGGTACTTCTATGATATTTCTCACCAAAGCCCCCCTCTGCCATACTGAACATCTTTCATATCCATGAAAGGAGTGTTTTCTATTTTTCTAGCCTCCAAATATGCTGTTTCTTCCATTTGAAACACTCTGACCCTCCAAATATCACACCATCATCCTTTCTCAAATACATACACCCATGTCCTCCTGTTGCCTGGTTAATTCCTATTCCAGATCTCTCATTCACTGAGACCTCCAACAGGGAATCTTCTGCTGAGGCCTAGACCTCTAGGTTAGGTTAATGTCTCCTAATTTATGCTGCTATAGCATTTTATGCTCCTATGAAAAACCTTGGCACACTTTACTTATAATTATGGGCTTAACATGTCTTTTCCCAAACCCATATGCCTTTTGAGGGAACAGACCACATCTAATCTTGATCACCACTAAATACCCAATGAATTAATGAGGGAGAAATGACACACAAAGCTAATGGTTTTTAGGGATATTTATTACTTAAGTTTCTGGCACCCTAATAGTTCCCAACGTGTGGATATTAAAATCCTTTTGTGTACTTATAAAATTACATAAGCTACAACTAAAAATAGCAGATATTCTAACGAGATCTCACATTTTTTCCCTTCCATGTCTGCCATAAAAACTTAGGAATGCACACTCTCTCTAAAAAAGAAAAAAAAGAAAAAAAAAGAAGGGGCTGTGCCTGGGTGAGACAGTTGATTGAGCATCTGACTGTTGGTTTCAGCTCAGTTCATGATCTCAGTTGTGAGACAGAGCCCCGAATCAGGCTCTGCATTCACTGCAGAGTTTGCTTGTGATTCTTGCTCCCTCTGTTCCTCCCCACCACATTCTCTCTCACAAATAAATAAAATCTTTAAAAAAAGAACTTAGAAACATTATAAATGATAAGTGATCTTTAATTTTACATAAAACTCTACTTGTTACTCAGTTCAATGGAGAGAAAAATGTTTTTCTTTGGAGAGAAGAAACTGGATCTCAATAGAATTATTTTACTCAGTTCAAGGTGGCCAAACTTTTTAATGTTTTAAAAACATTTTTTGGCAGCTGAAACCACTGTAAGTTTGCATGTTTATTGTGCTGGTACTGGGTAGAAACAGACTTTCAAGATGAGGTTCCTGACTGCACTCATCCACATTAAGGAGACTGAACGCACATGGTGAAGGGTTACAGAGTGCGGGGCGAATGTGGGCAGCCTCGACTGGGCTTTCAGGGAAAGGCAGAATGTGGAGTGAGGATGGTGCTGCAGGCTGGGGAACAGCCCAGGCAAAGGTCTGGCAGTAGCAGGAGGCACAAATCAGGAGCGAAGGAAAACAGTCTCCTTAGAGCAGACGATTTCACAACCAGAAAGTTTTAATATTGTGCCAAAAATATTCTGAAACCCACCTCAAATCAATTCTTGAGTGGACTCCTTTAAATTCTTACAATCCTGATCTCCTTTGGGCTTAATTCTTTTCAATTTAGTTTTGGCTGACAATCTGCTCTGTGTCCAAATCAGAAATATGTACCCCAGAATACAATAAAGTGATACTACGTATAGTCATATTTTAAAGTCTACAGTGTAGAAGTAATGTTCTTCTTTACTGTGCTGCGTATGTTAAAATATAAAGCCAGGCTTGGCAATCACTACTAATCACTACTATTCAAAAGATTCAGCAAATATCTCAAACTAGCAGTAAAATATGACAGATCATATCAACAAAACATTTGTATATCTCAGGTATAGCACTTTTTACTCTGTATTTGATCAAGAAACAAATCTTTTTTTTTTTTTTTTTTAAGAAACAAATCTTAATTTTGGTCTTATGCCTCCCAAGTATCTAGGAATAAGACTATATCTGAGGTAGTATTTGTAGAGAGAGCTGGTTTAAAATCACAGGCACCTGCTCCTCTTGGATTATTCATTCACATGTAGCACACACCACCATCCAGAAAAGAAAGCAGACATACCAGCCCTGTGTTTACTTCAGTCCTGTCCTCAGACACTGATGTGGAAAGACTCATCTTCCACTTACAGAAAAGAAATTTTTTTTTTATTTACTTATGATAGAGAGAGAGAGAGAGAGAGAGAGAGAGAGAGAGAGAGAGAGAGAGGCAGAGACAGAGACATAGGCAGAGGGAGAAGCAGGCTCCATGCACCGGGAGCCCAATGTGGGATTCGATCCCGGGTCTCCAGGATCGCGCCCTGGGCCAAAGGCAGGCGCTAAACCTCTGCGCCACCCAGGGATCCCTAGAAAAGAATTTTTATGGGGTGCCTGGGTGGCTCAGTCGGTTAAGCACCTGCCTTTGGCTCAGGTCACGATCCTAGGGTCCTGGGATCCAGCCCCACATTGGGCTCCCTGCTCAGCAGGGAGTCTGGTTCTCCCTCTCCCTCTGCCCCTCCCCCTGCTTGTGCTCTCTTTCTCTCAAATAAATAAAAATCTTTAAAAAATGCTTATTATAAAGCTTAAAGGTTAATCAGAAGCATCAATAATGAAAACATTAAAGACAACTTATTAATCCAGCTCATCCCACTCCCAGAATACAAACAATAAAAATCTACTCCAGCCAAATAAGAAACTGTGATTTACTATTCTTTGTTTTCTTCATACACACAAAAAGAAAAAAGTAAAAAACAAAGACGGTATGATAGACTTACTGTGCTACAGACAGGAAATGAAAGCTCAGGAACTTGCACTTTAGAAAGTTCACTGAGTCGAGAGCCATTTTTAATTGCTTGAATTTGTTCTTCATACTGAGACTGTAGGTAGAAGTAAAAGTGTTAAGTTTTTCTAATAAATCCAGGGAAAATCACAATTGCTAATTAATACTTTTTTTCTTATTATATATTTACAAATGGTCACCAATTTTCCAGGAAATGTAACAGAGATGCAAAGTATTAGAACAATTATTTCTTGGAAGCAAAGAAGTTCAAAATAAGACCTCATTAATTGGAATGCTGTACCGCCTTATCAAATATAACTTCTCTAATTTTATCAATTAGGGGCAGAATTTAAGACAGCCAATTAAGGAAATAGCATTACTTTCAGAAAACACTCTTCTTAATAATTACAATAAAAAATATATATTGCCTTTAACAGCTCAAAAAAAGAAAGTTTCAGTGACACTAACCTCTCCTGAGAACTATAATCATCATACAGGTTTTGACAGAATTACAAAATATTTTATAACTTACCTTTGCTATTTCAATTTCTTTTTTAACCTTAGAAAGAAATGATTCCCATGAATGTACATCAGATTCCATATCAGGGTAAGTTGCAGAATCACTGAAAAAAATGGAAAAACATGGAGGTGCTTAATGTCTACTATAGAAATGTTTTCAAAAGTTAAAACCACTAACGTGCAAATGAAAACATTTACAGATGAGAGACATATTTAACATGATCATACACACAATACTATTTTTTAAAAGATTTATCTATTTTAGAGAGTGCATGAGAACACTCATAGTTGGGGGAGGGACAAAGGGAAAGAATCTTCCAGCAGACTCGCTACTGAGTGTGGAGCTTAACTTGGGGCTCGAGCTCCATCTCATGACCTTAAGATCATGACCTAAGAAGAAATCAAGAGTCGGCAGCTTAACCCACTGAGCTACCCAGCCCCACCCCCACAACTATTTTTAAAGAATTATATATCCTACAGACTCACCACTAGAAACATTTGAGGAAATCTTAATTATTGGTCAACCAAACCTCCCAAACTGGTGGGCAGAGAGCAAATATTCTCCTGAATTTTAATTTTTGCCCTAAATGTGAAGATCTGACCATTCTGCATTTAACATCCTCGTGTTTAACAAAGGCTATTTTTACAGTTAAAAAAAAAGGGGGGGGGGCAACCTGGAACACTTAAAACATTCCAGTAAAACCTCATCCTCGCCTTACAGTAAAATAAAGGGTGGGGCCTGGCAGACTAGGTTAAACTTATACTTCAGCACCTCTACTGAAAGTGACAAAGAAGCTTTTCCCTTCCTAATTGGGAAGATCAATCCGTGATTGTGTCAGTTCTCATTATGTATCTTAAAGAAAAATCAGAACATTCCTTTTATGTCTTTTCTCTTTCGCTATCCTTTGGTGGAATGGGAGAGTTAGCATAGAATCCCTAAAAAAGAAGCTATGTGTACCACGAGGCTTAATGAGGAAGTGGACACTATCAAATGAAGGTCTGAGAGCTCCGTTTCCCAGAAGGGCCATAAAGTGCAGCCTGTGGCAAGATGGAACACTGGCCTTTCAGACCACTGGCCTCTATTTCAGCTGTACCAGTCTTGTAATGAATCAGCTTTAGTTTTCATTAGAAAAGTTTTCTCATGTGAAAAATGAAGAAATAAAAACAGTACATTAGGATTTTTCCCATGACCCATAGAGGGTCAACACCAAGGGTCTGAACTGTAAAACAAAAAGCACAAGGAAGGATAAAAAAATCTGACTGTGGAATATGATAAAAAGACCAGGTGAAAAGAAATTCCTTGTGTGAAAATCCATACAGAAAAGAGGCTAGACTGAAGAAGAGCCTCTGAAATTCCCAGGTAAACCTTATTCCAAAAATGAAGCCAAACAAAAACAGGTAAAGATTATGGAGTAGAAAAAATGACCATAGGTGAATGTTTTTTTTTTTAATTCAATTAGCCAACATATGGTACATCATTAGTCTCAGATGTAGTGTTCAATAATTTATCAGTTACGTATAACACCCAGTGCTCATCCCATCACACATGCCCTCCTTCATGCCCATCACCCAGTTACTCCATCCCTCCACTCCCCCCCACCCCCAACTCCAGCAACTCTCAGTTTCAGAGTTGTTGTTTCATAGAGTTAAGAGACTCTCATTGGTTTTTCTCGGAACTGGAGGGCATTATGCGGAGCAAAATAAGTCCACCAGAGAAAGACAATTATCATATGGCTTCACTCATATGTGGAATATAAGAAACAGCATGGAGAATCATAGGAGAAGGCAGGGAAAACTGAATGGGACGCCATACGTGAATATCTTTTGAAGTCACATTCCATTCTTAGTCTACCACTAAGAGTGTTAAAGTGACTGTTCTTACAGAAGATAATTTTTTAAAAGCTTGAAAATGAGCTCTGCATTCCAGAAATTTATTGCATGGAAATGATTAATAGTGTGCACAAAAATTTAGCTACAAGGAAAACTTACTGAAGTACAGCTTTTATGAACAGAATGTGCAAATAACCTAACTATATCATCCCAATGTTTAATAAATCACAACACATTTATATGCCGAACACTATTCAACTCTGCAAAATTAAGTCAGAGAAATGTAATTATTTTTTTAAAGATTTTATTTATTTATTCATGAGAGACACAGAGAAAGAGAGAGGCAGAGACACAGGCAGAGGGAGAAGCAGGCTCCAAGCAGGGAGCCTGACGTGGGACTCAATCCCGGGTCTCCAGGATCCTACCCTGGGTGGAAGGCAGCGCTAAACCACTGAGCCACCCGGGCTGCCTGAGAATGTAATTATTGATAAGAAACTAAGTTTCATATATATTACTTTATGAAAAAATATATATATATAATTTTTTTCCCCAAGTACACAATGATTTATTCCAAAAAACTAGTTACACATCAATTTAGAATTATGGATCATCTTTATCAGTTTTATTTGTATGCTTGGATTTTTCTACAATTGAACATGTATTGAATGTATAACTATTAAAAATAAAAATGGTTTTGAGGGATGCCTGGGTGGCTCAGCAGTTGGGCATCTGCCTTTGGCTCAGGGCGTGATCCCAGGTCCTGGGATCAAGTCCCACATCGGGCTCCCTGCATGGAGCCTACTTCTCCCTCTGCCTGTGTCTCTCTCTCTCTCTCTCTCTCTCATGAATAAATGAATACAATCTGAAAATAAAATAAAATAAAATAAAATAAAATAAAATAAAATATAAAATAAAATAAAATAAAATAAATAAAATAAAATATAAAATAAAATAAAATAAAATATAAAATAAAAAAAATAAAATAAAATAAAAAAATAAAATAAAATAAAGTAAAATAAAAAATAAAATAAAATAAAATAAAATAAAATAAAATAAAATAAAATAAAATAAAATAAGTCTTGGGCTTGAGCCACCTGGTGGCTCAATCAGTTAAGTGTCTGACTCTTGATTTCGACTCAGGTCTTGAGCTCAGGTCATGAGTTCAAACTCCTCACTGGGAGGCTCCCAGCATGAAGCCTACTTGAAAAAAATCAAAAGGTCCTGCCTAATATAAACATTTTCCTCAAATCAGCTCTAACTTGATTTACTAATGACATGCCAGAAAGAACATCTGAGATGCCACACAGTACCTGCTCAGTAGCCTCAGGTTCTTAAGATACCCTTCTGCTTGTGATTCCATGATCTGTAATTTGTACACTTCAATGTCCTTCCAGTTTTCAAGCACAGATACCTACCATTAGATTAGAGAATGTTTAAGGATTTTAAGACAGTGAAACTATTTTAAGGTTGTTAAAACATTCCAAGCAGATTGCAAAGTTTGGTGTATACTATGAGTACAGCTATGTAACACAATGTAAGCTTAAGGGTAAAAAACATTAAAAAGTGTTAAATAAGGAAAAAGTAGCTATTTCTGGGAGGCAGGATTATGAGTGACAGAATATCCCCTGGACTCCACACTTTTCGGCAATGCTGTTATGCCTCATATATAATTAATTAAACAGAAAGTAAATGTATGTTGCCTTATCTGCATCTTGCCTTATCCAAGTGTCCTGGACTCACCTCTGCAGCCACAGCTCTTTGAAGACTCTCTTCATAATTCTCCTTCCCTTTCTTTATACATTCTTCTAATTTCATTTTCTCATTTGTAAACGTATTACTGCAAATATTAATGACAAAAAACTTTTTGGAAAAATAAAGACCAGTGAGATAACCAAAGGCTCAGCTTTGAATCATGCCATGCGAAGACTTACATAATATCCTCTCAAGTAAATTCTTGCCTATTATTTGACTATTTAATACAGAGACTTGTGCTTTCTGCACTTCACAAAAAACTGATCAAATAAAATTAAAGAGTGCTTGGTGGAAATACTGAGAAACCAATTCATCATTTTTATGAGGGTAGGTGGAGTACAATCGGGCTATATTAATAAACTTCATAGAACACTGTTTATCCTTTCAGTCAAAATTTTATTTTGACATATATTAGAAAGAAATAACCCAAAGTAAAAAAGTGATCTATACAGAGCTATTCATGGCAATACATTCATAAGAGCTAAAAAAAGAGGCCATGAATCATGACATGAATGGAAATGTGTATGTGAAATAATATTCAATGAGAAATGTGGAACACAACTGCTTAACTACAGAGTATATTGGCTACCAGTATGTAAAAACATTATTTCCATTAATAAAGGTTAAAAGGAAACTTTTTATAGGTTCATAATAAAAATCATTAGTAAACTTATAATTGTGGAGCAACAAACTACCATAATAAGGTTGAGAATGCTATTTTAAGTAACACAAAAGTTTTAAAAACACACTCAGTTTCAGAATTCAAAACAAAAAATGAGTAATCAACAGAATAAATTCAGGATTTTTATATTGACAAGATGAAACAAAGTAGTAGGAACATCATAAAATAAAAATACTCAAAGAATACATTTATTTAAATATTAAAGAAAATAAAAACAGAAAAAAAAAAGAGACACGTAATTATTTTTAAAAAATAGACAAGTCCCAACAACAGATTTAGAAGCCTAAAAAAAAAAAAAAAAGAAGCCTAGAGTGCTGGTGCCCCTGGTATTAAAAGTATAAGATAGTAAAAATAAATTTAAGCTTAATTTGCCTGATTTCAAGGGACTGATCCAGAAGTAATTCATGTTCCTTTTCCTCTCCACCATTTTTCTGGGCATATCTATATGAAAGAAAATCATGAAATTTTAATTAATTTTCAATGATTTTTTTTAAAGTTTCAATGATTTTTAAAGATGTGGTCCCACACAGTAAATCCTACCTATATCCATGCAAACATTTCTTAAATTCTTTGTAAATTTCTACACTTTTATTCCATTTCTAGTATCTTTTAAATAGGCAAAGAATCTGGGTTGTTTTCCTTTCACATCTGGAGAGCAGAAACCTCTTCTTTACGCTTGGTCATATGCTTACAGTGTAGACCATCCTATCTCAGTTCACTTCAAGCAGTGCCCCCAGGTGGTTCAATATGAACCAGAAGAATTCAGGTGTTGTGGATCATCATCAGTATAACCAGTGGTTCTTATTCAAAATGAAAACAACTTTCTAGTCTTTAAAACAGGTCTTAAAGTCCACTTAACACACACATCTAGTCTGATAATCCTATAAAACAAAGTGTCTAAATCTTTGATTTTTAAAGCAAAACTCTGCACGAGTTGCGCTGACTCTTCTTTCATGCTCTCTCACACTTTTCAGCCATCTCTACTTGCTAAAAATCCCACGTTTCCATTAAGAAGCAGTTTAAATGCCATTTTCACTTCTTCTGTACTTCCCTAAGAGATCCAAAAGGTTTTAAGATTTTACTTTAAAATCTAAATATAGGGACACCGGGTGGCTCAGAGGTTGAGCATCTGCCTTTGGCTCAGGGTGTGATCCCAGAGTCCTGGGATAGAGTCCCAAATCAGGTTCCCCACAAGAAGCCTGCTTCTCCTTCTGCCTATGTCTCTGCCTCTCTCTCCCTCTGTCTCTTATGAATAAATAAAAAGATAAATAAATCTTTAATAAATAAATGAAATCTAAAAATAAAAATTTAGATTTAAATCATTTAACTTGGAAAGTCCAAATACCAACACACATAGAGAAGCCTGCAGCTTTAAACGGGACAGAAAAAAGCATAAAAAACATATTAATAAAGTGAAAAAAATCAATAAAAATTTTATTCAACAGAAACCATTTTTATGCTAGTATAGAAAATTTTTATAATAGCCTCACTTACTTTGTCTAGTTCAATAGTAAATCTGAACTGAGCATACAGAAATATATATTAAATATAAATATTCCTGAATTTTTTAATAACCTACCTACTGCTCAAATATTAAGAAGCATAGCAGTTTCACTTTATCCATGGAGGGATACGTTCCAAGACTACCCCTGCCAAGGATGTCTGAAACCACAGACTGTACCAAACCTAAGTTTCCTCCTACACATACATACCTATGATAGAGTTCAGGTTGTAAATTAGGCACAGTAAGAGATTAACAACAATAATTCATAATCAGAACAGTTATAATGATATGCTGTAATGAAAGTTATGTGAACGTGGTCTTTCTCAAAATATCTTACTGCACTGTACTCACCCTTCTCGTGATGACGTGAGATACAAAACGCCTATGTGGTGAGGTGTATGACATAGTGTTAGGCTACTACTGACTCCCTAACAATATGTCAGGAGGGGCATCATCTGAGCTTCCGGATTGTGGGTGACTGAAACCACGGAAAGTGAAAACTATAGGGGGAGAGGAGGATACTGTAAAGAGCTTTACAGAAATGATCATTTCCATAAATGTGTTCTGATGGAAATACTCTACTCTGAGCATGCTAAAATGACATGCACAGGCAGTGTTTTATGTGTCATCCTTCTTTTAAGGATTACCTAAAAACTGCCCAAATGCAATGCTAGCAAGACTCATAATGAAAGTCGTCTGATCACATGGCATGACAAATGGAAAAAGCACAAATGTTCTGAATGGTGAGTATTGTAGTGCAGCCCCAAGTGAACCATGCCTCCCATTCTTCATGCCCTTAAATCTAAACGAAACCTACCATTTGCTTTAAACAGAAAGTGGTAGAAGGGATGCTCTGACAGTTCTCGGTCTGAACCTTCAGAAGATACGGCAGCTTCTGCCCCTGTAACCTTGGAGCCTTTTGGTACCACTAAGAAGGCTACCATGGTGGAGACCACATGCCACACGGAGAGACCATACAAATAAAAGTCACATGGAAAGAGAGCAGCCCGGCAACTACATGGAGAGAAAAGGCCAGGACACCCTGGCATCCTAGCTGAGCCTAGCCCCCCAGCCGATTCCCAGCCACAGGAGAAACCACTGGCAACACCGGCATAACGGCCCAGCAGAAATCAGCACAAGTTCCAAGATCAGGATCAAATAAAACAGCTGTTAATTTAAGCCACCAAGTATGCGTGTTTGTTACACAGTGGTAGGTAACAATTAAGCTGAGGAATCATGGGACATATCACTTTTTAGGGAAGAGACGGGTTACGAATGGATCACAGAGAATCTTAAAACAAATGTGGCCCATCTGACAATTGCATTATCTGTATGCATTACCAAATCCTTCATACCACAAAGCTGAGTTTTAATAATTTAAAGATTCAAGATGAAAGTAATGACAATCATCAGAGAATCCTAGGGCAGGAAAGAACCTTTAGATCTAGACCAAGTCCCTCACTTTACAGACAAGGAAGAAATGGGTCAGAGGTAATGTTCACAGTAAGGGATGGTGTCCTGACTTGGAAGGAAGTCAGTTCTTTGCTGATTCATAATTCCACTTTATCTGCCAACACGGTAGGTTTAGAAAAAGTTTTAGGTAAGATAATTCCCCACTGAATGTTCTCTAAAATGAGATGAAAACAATATTTAAATTTGTATTTTACCTGACATGCTCTGAAACTGAGTTATCAAAAATGTTGAAATAACAAAAAAACCCCAATAAAATAAAAAGCAATAAAAATCATTGCCTTTCAGTTGTTACTTACATCTCGTTGGCATTTAAAACCTTTCTCATTTTCTTTGTTAGCGCTTTCAGACTTTCTTGGATTTCTTTTTTCTCCTGTTGCCATTTCTTGATTTCCTTTTCCAAATCTTCAAGGAACCAATCTAATTCTGTCTTTGAGATCTAAAAACATATTTAGAAAGTACTTAAATAAATAGAAAGATTTACTTTAAAAAAGGGGAAGATTTACTAAAAAAAAAAAAAAAAGAGTTCCAAAGCCCAGAACTGTGGTGGTGTATTAGCTTAATCAATGACTCCAGTTTAGCAGAACACACACAGCCCCAGCCCTCACCCACTCTCACACAATCAAACTGGGGGAGGCTGTCAAACAAAAAGGCAGGCAGGCATGACAAACTATCTAGTACTGGGGAAGACCTTCTCAAAATCAGTGATTTCTCATTTATGTCTTTAAAGAGGAGATGCCAAGGGCACCTGGGTGGCTCAGTCGGTTAAGCATCTGACTCTTGATTTCAGCTCTGGTCTGCTTTCAGGGTTGGAAAATCAAGCCCTGAGTTGGGCTCTGTGTTCAGCAGTGAGTCTGCTTGAGCTTCTCTCCCTCTGCTCCTCTCTCCTGCTCTCTCTCTCTAATACATAAATAAGTCTAAAAAAATAAATAAATAAAAAAATAAAAAGATGAGCTGCAATGTGGAGATTCCAAGCAGTGGGAATGGCAAGATAGAAGGATAAAAGAATATAGCGCATCTGAACAAAAGCAAGAGGCACTACACGGCTGGGATATGAGGTGGACATATGGAGGGCAGGGCAGGGAGAAAGGTACTCGAGATTCCTTGGGTTCAAATTATGAAAGGTCTTGGAAGCCATGCTAAAGAGGGGAGACTTTGTCCTGTAGACCACAGGGAGCCAGTGAAGACTCTTAACCAGGGCAGTGAGATGATGAGATTCTGGTTTTAGAAAAATAGTTCTGAAAGACAGAGATGGATTAGGAGCATCTGAGAAGGCATGTGAAAGTGTTAGACCAAAACAATGGCCTTTCACATGTTCTTGAATGTGACCCCAAATAACAAATACATTTTAATAATGATCCATAGCATATGTATGTAACACATGTATATACACACACAACTGAAGGAGAATTGCCTTACTTTCTGAGAGGCTTTTGGATATTTCTATTCAAATATTAAAAACAATTCCAAGGACGCCTGGGTGGCTCAGTGGTTGAGTGCCTGCCTTCAGCCCAGGGCATGATCTTAACCAACTGAGCCACTCAGGTGCTCTCAATATAAAATCTCTTAAGATCTCACTGTAATAGCTGAAGTGAGAGACAATAAGGATGATGGTGGTAACAGTAGGGATGATAAAAAGAAATAAAGGAAACTTTAGAGGAAAAGGACAGATAAGAGACCATGTGTGGGATATAAAACAGAAGTTGACTGAGTTAAAGATAGGTTTCTACTTTTAATGAATAGTTAAAAAATCCCATTAACAAAAAAGGAGAGCACAGAAGATATACTTGTTTAGGATATGAAAACAGAGATGTTAACCTAGATTTGGATATTTAAATAAATCTATGAATAAACAATAAAAGATGTGAAAACTCCATAGTTTTGACCCTGCAGTCATTCTGCTGGAACAGAGCAGAAATTTACAAGTGTTTGACAGAGACAAGAAATCAGAGGAATAAAAATACTGAATTCAAATAGCTTCCAACATAACCAGTTAAAAAGGAACAACATGCTTCTAAGTCTGATTTCTCCATACAACAGGCACTTGGATTCTAACAGGCTATGCTAGCACAGATTCGCACATGATCAAATCAGGTGTGCTTTGCTCTTCAAAAGAGTCCCAATATGAGCAACTCCCACCCCATTCCAAAAGTCCACTGACCACCTGGTTGGTTGTAACTTAGAATGCATTTCCCTATGAAAAGCCATGTTAGAAACACCAGTTAAATGTCCACCACAGCTCCTTCCAGGAAGTTCCTGGTTACAGAGGTAAAGTGGATACAAGGAGGACTACAGAGTTAATAGGGTGAGTCCCCAGACCATGAGAGTCTATATGACTGTGTAAAATGCAGTCTTACCCGGGTGCTGGGGACAGAGATCTGGTATAGGAAAGACAAAGAGGAAAGCTAAGAATTTCCTCTGAAACCTGCTTGAAATGATTCCTGTCTGCAGTAGTCTCCCTCTTCCTTTTGGCATTCACTCCATCCTCCAAGGACCCTTCTTCTGCAATACCCTCAAGTTTCACTGGACCCCTGATTTAAGCACCCCCGACCCAGGGCATGCCCACCTTCCAAGCGCATACTTTAAACATCTTTCCTTTTTTTAAATTTTTTTTTAATTTTTATTTATTTATGATAGTCACACACACAGAGAAGAGAGAGAGGCAGAGACACAGGCAGAGGGAGAAGCAGGCTCCACGCACTGGGAGCCCGACGTGGGATTCGATCCCGGGTCTCCAGGATCGCGCCCTGGGCCAAAGGCAGGTGCTAAACCGCTGCGCCACCCAGGGATCCCTCTTTCCTCTCTTTCATGTCTCTCGGCATTCAGAAGACCTGACTGCACTAAGGTATGCTGAAGAACCCGCACAGCTTGCCTACAAGTGTTTGCATTTCACTCTTCAGCCTAAATGATTTCCTAATCCAGAGGTAGTCTGCATATGTGCTTTATTTGGCAAGTCCAATAGTTTCTGTTTGCTTTTTAGAATATAAATGTGTTGTTTCTGATCTGGTCACAGGGGCATCTGGGTTGAGATACCCATCAGATTCTCAGGCAGTGTAACAAACAGAAGTGAAAACCTGTATTTTGAAGCAGGGGTAGTTACTTTCCCCCAGTTTGGTTAAACACCACCTGAGACCCAGCCTTCCCTGTCGGCATTTATTTATTTATTTATTTATTTATTTATTTATTTATTTATTTATTATTTATGATAGGCACACAGTGAGAGAGAGAGAGAGAGGCAGAGACATAGGCAGAGGGAGAAGCAGGCTCCATGCACTGGGAGCCCGACATGGGATTCGATCCCGGGTCCCCAGGATCGCGCCCTGGGCCAAAGGCAGGTGCCAAACTGCTGCACCACCCAGGGATCCCCCCTGTCAGCTTTCTTATGCAAGTGTTGCTCTCTCAAACTTCTCCTGAATCTATAAATTCTCTAAAAGTTTTATGTCTGGACAGCCCTGGTGGCTCAGAGGTTTAGCACCACCTTCCACCCAGGGCATGATCCTAGAGACCTGGGATCGAGTCCCATGTCGGGCTCCGTGCATGGAGCCTGCTTCTCCCTCTGCCTGTGTGTCTGCTTCTCTCTCTGTGTCTCTATGAATAAATTTAAAAAATAAATAAATAAATAAACATTTTATGTCATTTTTCAAAGTGCCATCCATTCAATGCTGGCAGAGGTATAGGTGGGGTACATGCTTATAAATACATGTCATTAACTGGGTGATGGCCACTAAGGAGGGCACTTGACCGGATGAGCATTGAGTGTTATACTATATGTTGGCAAACTGCATTTAAATAAAATATTTTTAAAAATTAAAAAAAAGAAAAATAGTCACAAAAAATACATATCATTTATAAGTAAAATATTCTGTGTATTCACATTTCTAATAATATGTGAATCAGGGAACAGAACAATATTTATAAGAAACAAGTTTAGATTTAAATATTTAAATTCTACTAATATCAACAACTGCTTAGAATGTGACCAGGTTACTGAGGGCATTGGCTCAGATAAAGAAATGGGCCTCCTCCATGAAAGAGAATGGAATACCTGAAGCCACCTACACAGACTCCATGGGAAGTGATGGTCTTCTAGTCAAAGGCAACACTTAACTTAGAGGAAGGACATTTCCCCCTCTTTTTTTTTTATATATTTTATTTATTTATCCATGAGAGACACATACAGAGAGAGGCAGAGACACAGGCAAAGGGAGAAGCAGGCTTCATGCAGGGAACTTGATGTGGGACTTGATCCCAGGACTCCAGGATCATTCCCTGGGCGGAAGGCAGATGCTTAACTGCTGAGCTACCCAGGCATGCCATGTATTTCTCCCTCTTAAGCCTTAGACACCAAGGCTTGTTATGTGCTTGGGTGAAAGATTTGCTAATAGTCTAGGTCCTACCACAAAGCAGGGTTGATTTCACTGGCACTGAGATGCATAAAACTAACGGTTTTTAGGCAGCAGAGGTTCAATGTCATTTCAATGACATTCCTTCTAGCATGGGGACAGTTTTACTCACATTCTTCCTTGCTGCTACACTGTGAATCCTGAATTCACCGAATCATTACTGTGACTGAAATGACGTCTACTCTACTTAAAATCATGTGTTCCACCTGCTTCACTTCTACCACGACCAATGTCCACACACAGCCTTTCTGCTATTAACCAAGTCAACCTTCCTTGTTTCTCACCTATTCCGTGCTTCCATTCTGAGCCAAATTTCACCTCAGGCTAAGCCTCTTGGCCAGGAGACGATGTGTAACCATAAGTTTATAGGGGGGCATAAGAATCCACTTGGCAACAAGTACCAACAGGAGTTATCAAAACGCACAAAGTATTTTTTTTAAAGATTTTATTTATTCATTCATGAAAGACACAGAGAGAGAGAGAAAGGGATCACGCCCTAGACCGAAGGCAGCACTAAACCGCTAGGCCACCCGGGCTGCCCAAAAGGCACAAAGTATTAAACACACACACACACACACACACACACACACACACACAGCTCAGCCATAGAAGATGCTACATGAGTTTATCTGCTGTTTAAACTAACCACCCTTTAATAACATAGCTACCTCACAATGCTAACTAGGTCAGCTATCATGAGCCTGACTACATTAAAAAAAGGGTCTGAATCCTTTTCTTTGAAACACCTAAAAGGAAAGAAAAAAAGACTATATACAACTGCATTCTTTATATGTACAGCTTACTGACATAATTATAAACATTTCCTGATAGTTTTTTTTTTCTCCACTGGAAAACATTTGGTTTCCATACTTCTTTTTCTTAAATTTAAACTTTGTTCCAAAATAAACAACTGAGGCACCCTTGACTACATATATATGGGGAACCTGGGTGGCTCAGTTAGTTGGGTGGCCCACTCTGGGTCTCGTTCAGGTCATTCATTATCTTGGGTTTGTGGGATTGAGCCCCAAGTTGGGCT